GGGGTCCGAGCTGCTCTGTAGGTGTCAGGCCGAGCACGGGCCTTGGCTCCAGCGAGCAGTGCCCTCCCCTCAGTGGGCTCACAGAGAGGCCGGCTCTGGGGTGTGTGGAGAGGGAAGGGAGGGTTAAATAGGGCCTTACTTGTTTCCTTTTGTCTTTCTCCCTTTAGGGTGAAAAGGGCTTTGATGGCCCCGTGGGACTCCCCGGCCCCAAGGTGAGTGAGGTATGCTGCAGCAGGGGCAGAGGTGCAGTTCCGAGAACCCCAGGCAGCCTTCGCCTCGCTTTCTGTCTGGAAATGGTGCATTAGGTCCTGCCCAGATTGTGCCCAGAGCTGGCTGAGGTGAGAGGAGAGGACGAGAGCAAGTGGCGAGGAGTCTGGACCCCGGCGTGTCTGCACTGCTCCACGTCTCATTTCTCAGTCTGGAAACAGCAGGGCAGGTTGCAGCCTGTGACTTCGGCAGGAGCTCTCCCTGTCAGTTCATTCAGCATCGCTCTCTCCAAGCTGCTGCATTCCAGAAACCTTCAGGGGTCGGTCTCTTAAAGTTGCTTTAAATCGCATGAAATTGTCTTCTACTCAACCTCCACCCATGTTAGTTGCACACGGCCAGGTCCTCCCTGGAGGGGGCCCCTGTCCTGGATCAGGGAGCTGCTCTCCCTCCCCGTCTTCCCCGGCTCACAGCATTTATTGAGCTGCACTCGGCCACCTTCTGCCCTTGGTCTGGTCTCAGACAGCTAAGACCCCAAGAGATGCCAGTTGCCCCGGGTCACACCAAGGCTGAGTGGAAGCATTCAGTAGGTATTAGAGACACCTAGAGACGGCGGGGCCCTGGCTTCCCCTGCCTCGTCCCCCTTCTTCTCTTTCTGCATATTTAATTCCCTGAGCCATACTCTCGCCCCTCTTCTCCCTCCCCCAGCTCTATCTCTGTGTCTTTGTCTCCTCCCCCTTCTCTGCTTCTGCATTTCGTAGTTTTGAACTTATGCAGCACGTCACCATGGAGCACCTGCTAGTAGCCCGGCACTGGGTAAATCTGAAGGTGCAGGACGGTTTAGACGCAGCCCTGTCCTCAAGTGCCTGAGTTCGATCTTGCAGACAGACCCATGAGCAAAGAAGCCTATTTCTTTTTGCCCGCTTCTCCCTCCTCTGCTGTCCTCTCACACTGGACTCCTGTGTGACAGCTGTGCCCCTGCTGGGTGTCAGGCTCAAGCTGGGAGCCTGCTGTGTCATAGACAGCTGATGCCGGGGTGAGAATTACCTCTGCCGTGTGCGCCCTGAGTGCTGTATGGGCCAGTCCCGGTCGAATGAATGGTGTCAGCCCTGCCTGAGATGCAGCATCAGTCCATTTTACAGATGAGAAGGTCGAGGGCCAAGGATGATAAATTACTTGCCTGAGAATTATTTCTTTGTCAAGATGTTCTTTGCCCCTGGAACTGTGCTGTTGGGGACGACCGAGGTGCTTCTTCCTGTCCTGGGTGGGATGCAGACCTGGCTCTGCAGTTGGCAAAGACAAAACCAGCTGCTTCTCAGCAGTCAGAGTGAAGCCAGCCTGGGTGCCCCTGGGGCCCGTGAAGAACCTGCCTGACGCTTGTCTCTGGTTTCAACCCCACAGGGAGACATGGGCACCACTGGGCCAGCTGGAGCTCCTGGACCCAAGGGAGAGAAAGGTGACATGGTGAGTCAGGTGCTGCCTCTGTGCGCTGACCTGCACGGCTGCGGAAGACCCCGGGCTCCTGCCTTCCACCTGCCCTCAATTATGCAGACCACCACATGTAGCTGAACCTGGTGGGAGCTGGGCACATGCCCACTGCCTTTGGGACACAGCCCAGCTACGTGCATGGCCCGGGGCCTGCTGGGCGTGGCCTTGGTGGCCTCCCTAGCCGTGCTCTCCTACCCCAGCCCCACACTACTTGTTTGGTTGCATGCTTTCTCACTCTGGCCATTCCTCATGGTTTTCCTCTACCAACAATAGTTTTCTTTTCTGCTCGCCCCTGCTCTCCCCAGCCCTCCATGCCTGGCTCGTGTTTCTCATCATTCGCATCGTGTCTGTGCATCGCTCTCTGGGTGGTCACGCAGATCCTGAGGCGTGCTCCTTTGTCCCCTCATCAGGCACCAGTGGCTGGACTCACTGGTGCCCTGACCTGTGACGTGTCATCATGTCACTCTCAACATGCAGTCTAGCACGAGTCGCATTCCTGACTCCTTCCTCTGGCGAGCCAGGGCCATTGGGTCAGGAAATCACAAGTGAACAAGTCACTGTTCCAGGCAAAGCCTCAGGAGCCAGGTGGCTGGGAGGTGAATTCCAGCTTCACCAAGACATGTAATCTATCTGTCCTCGGTTTCCTCACCTGTATGGTGGCATGACATACAATGGTCTAGCTGCATGATGGGGAATGAAGGACTGATCCATGCGTGTGGTTTACAGTGGTGCTGGGAGGACATAGGTACTGCCATTGCTGCCGTGGTCTCAGCTGGCATGGTGGCCACACACCTCCCCCCCCCAACGCAGCATCAGGCCATCTCAG